GTCCCAGCTACTTGGGAGGCGGAGGCAGGAGACTCGCTTGAGCCCAGGAGTTGGAGGTTGCTGTGAGCAGTGAAGCCATAGCACTCTACCCAGGGTGACAGCTTGAGACTCTGTCTCAAAAAAAAAAAGACTGGAAAATGGGCTTGGCACCAGTGGCTCAAGCGGCTAAGGTGCCAGCCACATACACCTGAATTGGCGGGTTGGAATCCAGCCTGGGCCTGCTAAACAACAATGACAACTACGACCAAAAAATAGGTGGGCACCTGTAGTCCCAATTACTTGGGAGGTGTAGGCAGGAGAATCACTTGAACCCAGGAGTTGAAGGTTGCTGTGAGCTATGATGCCATGGCACTCTACCCAGTGTGACAACTTGAGGCTGTATCTCAAAAAAAAAAAAGAAAATGAAGATATAGTTGAGCCAAGCATAGAGGCATGTATCAGTAGTTGAGGGTCTCAAGCAGAAAGATCACTTGAGCCCAGGAGTTCGACACCAGTCTGAGCAACATAGCCAAATTTAATTTCTTTCTTTCTTTCTTTCTTTCTTTCTTTCTTTCTTTCTTTCTTTCTTTCTTTCTTGACACAGAGTCTCACTATGTCGCCATTGGTAGAGTGTCATGGCATCACAGGTCACAGGCGATTCTCTTGCCTCAGCCTCCCAAGTAGCTGGGACTAGAGGCGCCTGCCACTATGCCTGGCTATTTTTTGTTGCCGTTGTCATTGTTGTTTAGCTGGCCCAGACCGAGTTTGAACCTGCCAGTCTTGGTGTATGTGGCTGGTGCTGTAATCACTGTGCTACAGGCACTGAGCCAGCGGATTTAATTTCTTAAAAAATAAAAAAGATATGGAGGAAAGTTCCTTTATGATGATGCACTTTACTAGCAGAATAGCTGGGGGCAGGTGCCTAGCAGTAGATGGCTGTCTAGACATCCAAGAAAAATGTCAGAAACTAGGATGTGGCTAGGCATGGCAGTTTGGCTGATGGGGAGGATTGCTTTTGTCCAGGAGCTCATGACCACTTACCGTGACTTCACCAAGGAAGCCACTGCCCTTGGACTCCTGAGCCAGACCGAGTGGGGTCTCTATTCTGTGCCTGGGAAAGCTCAGGTCTATACATACAGAAAAGGGCCACATGGCCCAGGTAGATCCATGGAGGGCAGTGGAATGAAACTGATCATATTCTTCTTCTTCCAGGTGCTGTGACGTGTGAGGCACCTGTTCCCAAGGACCAAGCCTTGCTGCTTCCAGACAGCAGCCATAGCTTCTGTGGCCCCAGTCTGGTCACAGGGAAGGGGCTCAGGGGCCAGGAGGCAGAGCAGGAAGCCCAGACCATCCATGAAGAGAATGTAGCAAGACTGGAGGCCTTGGCTCCTGAGGAGATCCTGCAGGAACAGCAGCGGTTGCTGACTCAGCTTGGTATGGGGACTTGGCTTTCTTGCTAAGACCAGGCCAGGAAGGGACTGCCACTTACTGAGGGAGACTTACTGTAATTCCAAGCACTGCACTGAGTACTGTAATGCATTATTAGTATTTCATTCTGTCCTTAAATGCATTCTATGAGGTGGGTGGCTTGAACCTCCCATTACCTATAAAAAAAAACTGAGACCCAAAAACTTTTAAGAAATTCTCCATGGCCTGCACAGTGTATAAGGAAGTCAGATAGGATTTGAACCCAGGTCTGCCTGGTTGCACAGGCCCTACTGGTAAGCACTGCAGTCTGTATGACTGTACTGCCTGGTGTAGTATACATGGCACTTTATTACAGCTGTGCTCTAGTGTAGCTGCAGTCTGCGCTTTTCTGACGTACTGTGCTACACTCCTAGCTTTTCTTCACCAATGCTAGGTACCCAGGCAGTCTGTTCCCCACTGTATATCTAGCACCTACACAAAGCAGCATACGTATTAGATTTTTAGTAATATGTGTGTATAAACAAATTAGCTGAGAGAAGGTGAGGAAAATTGTTTGGTAAATGCCTTCTCCTTGGTCATAGTCAGCATTCATTCTGTAACACCTTTGACGTGGATTCAAACACAGGAACAGGTGTAAGCACCTCAGCCAGGGGACTGTGAGGGATAGACAGAAAGGCGGGCCTGCAGGCTCAGTGACTCCACGTGGGTGAGAAGGCAGGGTCATTGAAAGGCCATGAGAAGACTCAGGGGACTTAGGCCCAATCTGGCAAGTAGCTTGTCCTGTCCTTGACACCGACAGGCAGGCAGTAGTCAGCAGGCCTATAATGGGTATGAACTATCCACCCCCACTTACTCTCTCCCCTCTACCTTTACCTCTAGACCCCAGCTTGGTTGCCTTCTTGAGAGCTCACAGCCGCACCCGGCAACAAGCAGCAAAGAAGGCCCCTGAGGACGAGAGGCCAGGAGAACCCTTTGCTCATGTCACCAAAGAGAAGCCCCTCATGTCAACTTCTGCCCATGAGCCCAGGAAGGAAGAAAAGCTAGAGCCAGCTACTCCAGGTTTGGAGGTGGAGGGGGACTTCTTTTGGTGGATAATAGGAGTGGAAAATGGCCCTTCTCTTAGGCCTAGCAAATAAAAGAAGCTTCTTTGCCCTCGGACAGCTAATACTAATCCTCATTATTGGCTTCAATCAATCTTCATTTGCTTGTGCATATCTTCTTCCTCCACATGCTTCCTGTTTTCTTGTCCTGTTAACTGCTCCTTTTCTGCCTCTCCTTGAAAAGGACTGATTGGCCCCCTCCCCCTGGCAAACCATCTCCCTGCCTTTGCTTTAGCTGCCCTGGCTTTGGCTCTGTCCATCCCATAGTTCTTTCTATCTCTGATCTCAGTGTGGGGGAAGATAGCCCAGCCAGGGTGATGGAAGAGGAAGAGTCTGACAAAGGTCTAATGAACATGCCAGACCAGAAGCAGAGAGGCCAGTGGAAGCACTCATTTCCCAGAAACTAGATTATTTCATTAGTGATTAACAAAAGAAAAAATTGAATTATGACAGCCAGGAACCTCCTGCCCCTGAGGAGCTCCAGACCATCTGAACAGGTTCAGTGGGGGTAGGGGTGAGGAAGGAGGAGAGTGTTGCAGGGGTATGTTTCTATATCCAGCCCCCTGGGGCAGTATAGCTGCTGCTTCATTGTCCCTGCTCCCCTCCTCCTTTAGAGAGTGGTACTAGAGAAAGCTGTGCTTTCCCTGTCTATGTGGTACTCCTTTCCTCCTCTATGCCTCTTCCTCTTTCATTCCTTCTCCTACTCCCAACAAATCCTGTGGTCTGTAAGGGTCTAGAGCCCAGGACTAGGTATATCTGCTGTGTCTGTGACATTCACCTGATCCCCAGGAGTTCCAGCTCTGGGGTCATGACATTTAGCCATAATTGAGGGTAGAAGCTGCCAAATCCTGGAGCAGAGGTAGATGTGACAGCTGCTGAGTGACAGTAGGGACCCCTGTGAACTAGTCAGCTAAGCCCCTTAGGGCATACTATCATGCTTCCATCTTCCTAGCTCTTGCACTGCCTGTGACCCCCCAGAAGGAATGGGTGCACATGGACACTATTGAAATGGAGAAGCTCAGCTGGACCCAGGATCTGCCCCCACTCCGGCGGCAACAGACACAGGAGGTGAGGACACCCAGCTGGCCTACAGGATGTGGTGGGATATGAAAGGCTACTGCTCTTGGACCCAGAACTCAGGCCCTTCTCTTTAGCTGAACCTGAGAAACATCTCTGTTTGCCCTCACTCCCACCACCCTGTCTGGCCCCCAAGGCCAGATGAGCCCCATTTCCAGGCAGAGGGAGAGTCAGGACTTAAGTCCTGAGATGCCTACGATTAAGTTGAGAAATGGGTGTGGAGAAGTTGCTGCTGCCCAGCCCACATTCCCCTTTCTTTTCTCATCAGAGGATGCAGGCACGATTCAGTTTGCAGGGAGAGCTCCTAGCCCCTGATGTGGACCTACCCACACACCTGGGCCTGCACCATCATGGAGAGGAGGCAGAGGTGAGGCACAAGGCTTGGGGAGGAGCGGGCAGCTCTTGGCAAGTGCTTTTAACAGTGAGGTGAAGGCTGGACAAGGTTGCCCACATTCACAGTCCCAGTGCTTTGGAAGCTGAGGTGGGAAGATTGCTTGAAGTCAGGTGATCAAGATTAGCTTGGGCAACATAATAAGATCACATCTCTTGCTCTCTTTTTTTTTGTTTTTAATTCTTTCTTTTTTTTTTTTTGAGACAGAGCCTCAAGCTGTCCCCCTGGGTAGAGTGCCGTGGCATCACAGCTCACAGCAACCTCCAACTCCTGGGCTCAAGCGAGTCTCCTGCCTCAGCCTCCCAAGTAGCTGGGACCACAGGCGCCCGCCACAACGCCCGGCTATTTTTTGGTTGCAGCCGTCATTGTTGTTTGGCGGGTCCGGGCTGGGGATTCGAACCCGCCACCTTAGGTGTACGTGGCTGGCGCCTTAGCCGGTTGAGCTATAGGCGCCGAGCCAATTCTTTCTTTTTACCACCAGAATTCATACTATTAGAAGTTCAGAAGATCTCATCTCTATTAAAAACAAAAACAAAAAACTACTATTCAGGCATAGTGGCAAACACCTATGGTCCCAGCTACTCAGGGGACCAAGATGGGAGGATCATTTAAAGCCCAGAAAGTCAAGGCTGCAAAGAGCTATGATCAGGCCACTGCATTCCAGCCTGGGCAATAGAGTGAAACCCTGTCTCTAAAAACAAAACAAAACAAAACCAACAAAAATTGTTTGTTTTTTTTTTTTAGAGACAGAGTGGCACTTTGTCACTCTCAATAGAGTGCTGTGGCATCACAGCTCACAGCAACCTCCAGTTCTTGGGCTTCGGCGATTCTCTTGCCTCAGTCTCCCAAGTAGCTGGACTACAAGCACCTGCCATAACGCCTGGCTATTTTTTGTTGCAGTTTGGCCAGAACCAGGTTTAAACTTGCCACCTCAATTATATGGGGCCAGTGCCCTACTCGCTGAGCCAACTGAGCCACAGGTACCACTCTCCAAAAGAATTTTTTTTTTTTTGCAATTTTTGGCCAAGGCTGGGTTTGAACCCACCACCACTGGTATATGGGGGCAGCGCCCTAATCCTTTGAGCCACAGGCACTGCCCCAAAACAAAAAAAATTTTTTTCAAGACAGAGCCTCAGACTGTCCCCCTGGGTAGAGTGCTGTGGCATCACAGCTCACAGCAACCTCCAACTCCTGGGCTTAAGCAAGTCTCCTGCCTCTGCCTCCCAAGTAGCTGGGACCACAGGTGGCCACCACAACACCTGGCTATTTTTTGGTTGCAGCCATCATTGTTTGGCGGGCCCAGGCTGGATTCGAACTGGCCACCTTAGGTGTATGTGGCTGGCACCTTAGCCACTTGAGCAACAGGCACCAAGCCCAAAACAAAAAATTTTAAAAACACCACGTGGAGGGCAGCGCCTGTGGCTCAAGGGAGTAGGTGCCAGCCCCATATGCCAGAGGTGGCAGGTTCAAACCCAGCCCCAGCCAAAAACTGCAAAAAAAAAAAAAAAAAAACACCACATGGAAAGGGATATCTGATGCCTTTGACCCCACCTCCAAGTTGTCTGCTGTCTATTCAGTTCCTTAGGCTCCAAATCTTGTTCTCCTCTCCCTCATATTAGATCTAGTTGATTGCAAGAACTTGCCTACTTCAGTCACCTCCCCTTGATGTGTCCTGCATCATAGCCTTCCACTCTTCTCCATGCCATTCTGTCCCTCCCAGGGCTGCCATCCTGATTTTCTCTAGCCCAGCTGAGGCTATGCGTTGCCTCAGAAAGTTTCCCTGCTTCCCTCTGTTCACAGATAAGTACTGGTTCCTCAGCTTTGGAAGACCGTCCTTTCCCTACCTGTTCCTGCTGACCCTGTGACCCTGCTTCCTTGGCTCCTGTTGCCCCACTCTGCCATTGCCTCCTCACATACCTCCTGTGCTCAGGGACCTGTAGGGCTCAGCTTGCTCCAAGGATGTCTTTACCTTTTGCTCCATGCCAGGCCATAAAGGCTTTAATCATCCACTGAGACCAAATGGCTTTTACAGGTCCCCCTTAGTCTTTCTCCTGTCCATGGTTGCAAATTAAACATGGATTACTGCTGGGCACGGTGGCTCACACCTGTAATCTTAGCACTCTGGGAGGTGAGGTGGGTGGATTGCCTAAGCTCGGGAGTTGGAGACCAGCCTGAGCAAGAGCGAGACCCTATCTCTAAAAAAAAAAAAAAATAGCTGGGCGTTGTGGTAGGCACCTGTAGTACCAGCTACTTAGGAGGTTTAGGCAAGAGAATCACTCGAACCCAGGAGTTGAGGTTGCTGTAAGCTATGATGTGCCATAGCACTCAACCCCAGGGTGACTGAGTAAGACTCCATCTCAAAAAAAAATAAATAAACATGGATTACTACCTTCCTCTCCATCTGCTGTGTGCCAGGATTACTTGTGCATGTTCTATCTTCTTTACCAGCTTGAGGCTCCGTAGAGAACTTAGGCAGAATATAGCATTTGTTCATTTACTTTCCCTTGATACTTTGCTGAGTATTGGGGGAGCACTGCCTTGCACCTTTACTATTTCTTTTATTTTTTTTTTTGAGACAGTTTCAGTACATAACCCTCTGTAGAGTGCTGTGATGTCAACAGCTCACAGCAACCTCAAACTCTTTAGACTTAAGTGATTCTTGTGCCTCAGCCTCCCCAGTAGCTGGGACTACAGGTGCCTGGCACGATGCCTGGCTATTTTTTTGGTTGTAGTTGTCATTGTTGTTTGGCAGTCCCGGTGTGGGCTCAAACCCGCCAGCTCTGGTGTATGTGGCTGGCACCCTGGCCACTAAGCTCCAGTTGTGGAACCACCTTTACTATTTTTTATTAAGTCAAATACATATAGATCATGAATACGTTCATGCATATGTGGGGTACAATGTGCTGATTTTTTTTTATATACAATCTAACCTGGTTACATTAAACCAATCAACATAGCTTTCACCTCATTTACTTGATTATTGTGCCAAAACATCTATGTTCTACATTTCACAGATTTGACTTGTACCCTTGTCATATGTTCCATAGGTGTGATCCCTCCTTTTACCTTTACTATTTTTGACTTGTTATCCCTGCCCCAGAGAGCAGGGTATTCTCTACAGGAGCTGTTCCACCTGACCCGTAGCCAGGTGTCCCAGCAGAGAGCTCTAGCACTGCATGTGTTGGCCCAGGTCATCAGCAGGGTGAGTGGACCACTGGCCTGGTCCTGCCTACTCCCACCCCTTTGCCCACAACCCTAGACTTCCCCACTTCCCTACCCTTTTCTCTCTGGCTCACCAGCAAGATATGTGCTTTTAACAACCCACAGTTATTGGCAGGCAAATGAAATATTAGAACAAAGACTATATAACTTCAGCATCTTCAGCAAGGTTTTATCCTCCTGTCCCTAAGGCCCAGGCTGGTGAGTTTGGAGACCTGCTGGTGGGTAGTGTCTTGCGTCTCCTTTTGGATGCTGGCTTCCTCTTCCTGCTGCGCTTCTCCCTGGATGACAGAGTGGATGGGGTCGTCGCAGCTGCCATCCGGGCTCTTCGGGCTCTGCTGGTGGCTCCTGGAGATGAGGTACCACAGGGGTAGAACTGGTGCTTAGAGGCACCAGGGTCCCCACTCCTCATGCTGGACATGCCTTGTACACAGGAGCCTTGCCTTTCTGGTCTTTGTAAGAGGTTTCCACTCTGCTCCCAGGCCCATTTCCTGGCCCCTCTCTCTTTCATTCCTTTTCCTCTGCCAGGAGCTCCTCGACAACACCTTCTCTTGGTACCATGGAGCTTTGATGTTCCCTTTGATACCCAGCCAGGAGGATGAGGAGGATGAGGATGAGGATGAAGAACCCCTGGTAGAAAAGACAAAAAGGAAGAGCTCTAAGGAAGGAAGCCGGCCTCCACCTGACCTGGCCCGGCATGATGTCATTAAGGTAAAAAAAGGCATCTTTCCTGTCTCGTGATCTAGAGGGCAAGCATATGTTAGGCAAGATGTGTCATCAATGTTGGGGCCCAGATGCATCTGGCAATGGGTTTATCTCTCGAACTCCTAGGGGCTCCTGGCTACCAACCTGCTGCCTCGGCTGCGTTTTGTGCTGGAGGTAGCCTGCCCAGGACCTGCTGTGGTCCTTGACATCCTGGCTGTGCTCATCCGCTTGGTCCGGCATTCTTTAGAGTCAGCCACAAGGGTGAGAAAGAGAAGGGAACAGGGAGTGGATAAAGAGCCTGGCTATGTCTGCTCAAGACAGCCTCCCTACCTGTCTTTTTCCTCCCATCTCCCATAGGTCCTGGAGTGCCCTCGGCTGATAGAGACCGTAGTCAGAGAGTTCTTGCCCACCAGCTGGTCCCCCATGGGGGTAGGGCCTACTCCCAGTCTACACAAAGTACCCTGTTCTGCTGCCATGAAACTGCTTCGTGTCCTGGCCTCGGCTGGTAGGAATATTGCTGCCCGGCTGGTGAGCAGGACACAGCAAGGGATGAGGGGGACGTGGCTGGATTGGTAACTAAACATGGTTCCTGAACTCAGGGTGGTCAGTTCATACCATCTTCCTCTTCTGTTGTTCAGTTGTTTAAAAATACAACAGAAATTACCAGACAGGAACCTAGTAAGCTGGAACCTGGTATATCCTATAGACTTGCTGTGGTCTCATGATGTGAGGGGAGGGCTCCCTGTTCCCCAGACCCTGATCCCCAGAGCCACATACAGATAGGCACACATCTCCCTTAGCCAAGCAGCCCTAGAGAAGGTGCCCAGCAGTAACTTGCTAAAGAGAGAGAGGGAGAGGTAGATGAGGTAGTTTTCACCCCTGCCCAGAACTATGATCCTGTGGCTCAGAAGGGCCTGGAGCAGGGCCAAGTTGAGCTAATCTCATAGTCCCACTGTGAATAGCTGGATTTGGACTCCCAGCAGATCCTGATCCCCAGACTCTGCTTACCCCCAGTTGAGCAGCTTTGATCTCCGGAGCCGCCTGTGCCGCTTCGTAGCTGAGGCTCCCCAAGAACTGGCCTTGCCTCCAGAGGAAGCTGAGACCCTGAGCACCGAGGCCCTCCGTCTGTGGGCTGTGGCCGCATCCTATGGCCAAGGCAGTGACCTTTACAGGTGAGGAGAGGCAGGGGTAAACTTCCTTCTAGATACCTCCAGTTTTGCACTTCTGTCCAAATCAGTACCTCAGTATTGATCATGATCCCAAGCCTTAGGGAGGCTAAGAATGAAGAAGGGACTCTATTGGGTGTGAAAAGGCTTGGGAGTCAGGACTGGCCAGGGAAGAGTGGAACAACCTGCGCTAACCACATTTTATGCACAAAAGCATTGGAATCTTTTTTTTTTTTTTTTTTGAGACTGAGCCTCAAGCTGTGCCCCTGGGTAGAGTGCTGTGGCATTACAGCTCACAGCAACCTCCAACTCCTGGGCTCAAGCGATTCTCCTGCCTCAGCCTCCCAAGTAGCTGGGACCACAGGTGCCCCCCACAATGCCCAGCTATTTTTTGGTTGCAGCAATCATTGTTGTTTTGGCGGGCCTGGGCTGGATTCGAACCCGCCACCTTAGGTGTATGTGGCTGACGCCTTAGCCACTTGAGCCACAGGTGCCAGGCCAAAGCATTAGAATCTTAGTGAACTCAGATTTAAATTCTTGGCTAGGGACAGACTTCCAAGAGTTTCTCAGCCCTAGGGCCTTTTCCCTCTTGATCTTCCTTCAGACTACAAATCCCTGTTATGCCTGTGCTTATATCTCTGTCTGCCTTCATGCAATGAAAGTTACTCATTGTTCTCTAGGGAGCTCTACCCAATGCTGATGCGAGCCTTGCAGGCCGTACCACAGGAGCTCAGCATATACCCACCACCGCAGCCCCTGTCCATGCAGCGGATAGCCTCATTGCTCACTCTCCTCACCCAGCTGACCCTAGCAGCTGGCAGCAACCCCCCTGAATCTATTAGGTAAGTTAAAGCCCTAAGCCTGCTAGGAGGGACATCCTATCAGGAACCCCAGGACAGGCCAAGGGGGGAGTAAGGCAGCCACATCCTCACTGTAGACCCTTTTGGCCCTTCTGTAGTGATTCTGCTGAGACCAGCCTGTCTGCCACCCATTCCTTGATCACTTGGACACAGGTATCTGGGCTTCAGCCTCTTGTGGAGCCATGTCTAAGGCAGACCTTGAAGTTGCTACCCAGACCTGAGGTGTGGAGTGCCTTGAGCCCAGTGCCCACTGCCTGCCTGTTGTTCCTGAGTGCCTACTACCAGGTCTGGAGCCAACAAGTGAGTGTTGTCTGCCTACCTTCCACTGTGCCCCCTGCCCATCCTCCAACCACATGCCACCCACTTGCTTCCTCTCTGTCTCTACCCCTCCACTTCTACTTCTCTACTCCCCATTTCCTACTTGCCATCTTTTAACTCCTACCTTTCCTCCTATTTCTATCTCCATATCTCAGTGATAACTTCCCAGGGGCCATGTTAGTTGGGACCAGAAAATCCAAGCAGCATTTGAGCCTACCTGTAGCCTTTATCTTCTCTATGTACCCCTAGCCTTTGGGTTCCAGAGCAGCCTCAGGGCCTCTCTCCCTTTAGAAAGGCTAGCCTGGGCAGAGTAAGGTGGCTCACACCTGTAACCATAGCACTCTGGGTAGCCAAGATGGGAAGATCCTTTGAGCTGAGGAGTTTGAGACCAACCTGACAGAGTGAGACTCTGCCTCTACTAAAATAGTAAGAACTAAGGTGGTGCATGGGGTTCAAAGGAGTAGGGCGCTAGCTCCATATGCTGGAGGTGGCAGGTTCTAACACAGCCCCAGCCAAAAACTGCAAAAAAAAAAAAAAAAAGAAAAAACTTGCTGGGCATTGTGGCTGGTGATGGTGTCCCAGCTACTTGGAGGCTAAGGCAAGAGGATCACTTGAGCCCAGGAGTTTGAGGTTGCTGTGAGCTAAGCTGATGCCTTGGTACTCTAGCCAGAACAACAGAGTCAGACTCTGTCTCAAAAAAAAAGACCAACCTGTAGAAGCCTCCAAACACACTCTTTTAGGCCCTTGGGTTACTGGTATTGGTGTCGGTACATAAGGGCTAGGAGAACGGGTGTCCTGGGCCATGGGTTCAGTGAACTCCATGGCCCTCCAGCCAAGCTCATGCCCAGAAGATTGGCTTGAGGACACAGAGCGCCTGTCGGAGGAGCTATTGCTGCCACTGCTGAGGCAGCCCACTCTGGACAGCCTGTGGGAGTCTCTTAGGTATGTACCATGTGTGGGTAGTTAGGGGGAGGTGGAGTAGAGGCTGTTTCCCTCCTTGTGGAATTCTCAGATCTAGCTTCCTGTCCATCCCAGGGCTCAGCACCTTGGCCTGAGGAAAAGCTGACTCCCTGGCAGGCAGCAGTGTGTGGGCCTCTAAGGATTTTGGGTACTGACTTGCACAGCCAGGCCTCTGCTGGCCTTGGTTATAGATCAGGTTGCTCTTTTCCAGCCTGGTACATGTCAGGCTAGAGCCCCCTCTGATTCTCCATTTTGCCTGCAGGCACTGCTCCCCTTTCTGCAACCCGCTGACCTGTGCTCCAGCCCCTGAAGCTCCCCCTAGCCTCGTGTCACTGGGTTGTGCAGGAGGCTGCCCCCCTCTCAGTCTGGCTGGCCCAGCTTCACCCTTCCCATTCCTCACCGCCCTCCTCTCACTTTGCAACACGCTGGCCCGGATCCACAAGGGGCTATGTGGCCAGGTAAGCCCTGGGTGCCTGGTTAGGGGCCAGGCAGGAGGCCATGATGGCAGGAGTAAGAAAAAAAGGGGAGAGTTTTCCATTGGGAAGGGAGGCCTCTTCTGTCAGCATCCATTTCTCTGAGTTTGGCTGGGAGGGGACAGTCACCTGGGGAGCTCCCAAAGCCATCAGAGTCAATTTCTATATCTGAACAAAACTGTTTTTCCTCAGCTGGCAGCCATATTGGCTGCGCCTGGACTCCAGAACTACTTCCTCCAATGTGTGACTCCTGGGGCTGCCCCACACCTCACACCCTTCTCTGCGTGGGCCCTGCGCCATGAATATCACCTGCAGTACCTGGTCCTCTCCCTGGCCCAGAAAGTGGTGGGTTCCCCTGTCTGACAGGTTCTGCCCCCAGCTGTTATCTCCTCCTGCTTCTTGGAACCTTTGCTGCTTCTGCAAGGGCATGCAGCTCCAGATATGCCCTGGCTCTGTGCCCCTCAGTCTTGCTTGTATCCTCTTTCTTAATTCTCACTGCTTTGTCCCCTCCACGTTTCCCCGCACTAAATAGCTCCTGGCTTTTCTGTCCATAGGCAATAGTCCAGCCACTACCTGCCACCAGTGCTGCCCTCCATCACAGTGTGGCTTTAGCCCTATTGAGCCGGCTGCTGCCTGGAAGCGAGTACCTCGCCTATGAGCTGCTGATGAGCTATGTCTTCCGGCTGGAGTTCCTCCCGTAAGTCCAGTTATAGTGCCGTGAGCTCTGCCTTTTGAAGGATGCTGTGGTTGTTGAGAAGCCCTGAATTTGGAGCCATAAGACCTATGTTTAATTCTCTTTCTTCCATGGGTTCCATGTTTAACCTGTCTGAGCTTCTGCTACCTCATTAGTAAACTAAGAATTAAACTAACCACAACACAGATGATTGTGAGACATCAATGTGACTGCCTGTATGTCTAAAAAAAATGGCACAGGCTTGGTGCCTATAGCATAGTGGTTATGGTACCAGCCACATACACCGAGGGTGGCAGGTTCAAAATTGGCCCAGGCCAGCTAAACAACAATGACAACTGGAACAAAAAATAGCAGGGCACTGTGGCGGGCGCCTATAGTCCTAGCTACTTGGGAGGCTGAGGCAAGATAATTGCTTAAGCCCAAGTATTGGGGTTGCTGTGAGCTGTGAAACCACAGCACTCCACTGAGGGTGACATAGTGAGACTCTGTCTCAAATAAATAAAATAAAATAAAATAAAAACTAAAGGCTCGGCGCCTGTGGCTCAAGCGGCTAAGGCGCCAGCCACATACACCTAAGGTGGCGGGTTCGAATCCCCAGCCCGGGCCCGCCAAACAACAATGATGGCTGCAACCAAAAAATAGCCAGGCGTTGCGGCGGGCGCCTGTAGTCCCAGCTACTTTGGAGGCTGAGGCAGGAGACTCGCTTGAGCCCAGGAGTTGGAGGTTGCTATGAGCTGTGATGCCATGGCACTCTACCCAGGGGGATAGCTTGAGGCTTCGTCTCAAAAAAAAATAAAAAAATAAAAACTAAAAAATGGCATATATACACATGTACCAGCTAAGAGTTACTGAGTATTTACACTGTGTCTAGTATTCCCTTATATATTTATTATGGGCCATGTAAAACTTTCTCTTACTATGAGGAAGCTCAAGCACGGAGAAGTTATATAAACTTGCACCTAGGCAGCTGGCTCTATTGTTCATCCTCTTTACTGCTATATAACATGGCATGAGAGGTTGTTGTTAGGGAAGCGGGGAGGAGGAAGATTGGACCTAGGAGCTTCTGGAAAGCCCTGAAGCGCTCTCATGGCCTCTAGTTGCTGTGGTTCCAACCCTTGTTTTGGGTCCCGTTGCAGAGAAAGAGCATCAGGGGGTCCAGAGGCAGCCGACTTCTCTGACCGACTCTCCTTAGGGAGCAGCAGGGACCCTTGGAATGGACGAGGAGCTCTACTAGCTCAGGCCTGCCAGGACCTCTCCAGTATCCGCAGCTGCTACTTGAGTCACTGCTCACCAGCCCGAGCCAGCCTGTTGGCCTCCCAGGCCGTGTACCGAGGAGAGCTACAGCAAGTCCCAACCCTGCTGTTGGCAGTGCCTAAGGAGCCACTGCTGCCCACTGACTGGCCCTTCCTACCATTGATTCAGCTCTACCATCGGGCTTCAGACACCAACTTGGGGTTCCCTCCCACTGACACTGTGGGCATAGCTATGCGGGTCTTGCAGTGGTTGCTAATTCTGGAGAGCTGGCGCCCCCAGGTCCTCTGGGCTGTGCCTCCTGCCGCCCGCTTGGCACGGCTCATGTGTGTGTTCCTGGTAGACAGTGAGCTGTTCCGAGAGTCCCCTATACAGCATCTGGTGGCAGCCCTCCTAGCCCAGCTCTGTCAACCTCAAGTCCTGCCAAGCCTCAATTTGGACTGTCCACTTCCTGGCCTGACATCTTTTCCTGACCTCTATGCCAACTTCCTGGATCATTTTGAGGCTGTCTCCTTTGGAGACCACCTCTTCGGAGCTCTGGTCCTTTTTCCCCTACAGCGTCGATTCAGTGTCACCTTGCGCCTTGCCCTATTTGGGGAACATGTGGGAGCCTTGCGATCTTTGAGCCTGCCTCTGAACCAGGTACTTTTTCAGTCTAGCAAGTCCTGTGAAGGGTGCCTTGTATTGGCCCTGGGGGCAGTCCTGAGCAGTAGAGAGCTTTCTTTAGTGGGCCTCCAGTTCCTCATCTTAACCTAAATTATTCAGATTCTAGATGTTAAGTCAGGATCCAGAAAGGGAAAGATCCAAGTAGGCTTCCCATAAGGAGAATGCTTTGTGGAAGAAGTAGGGATTGACTCAGGCACAGAAGGTTGGATAAAATTTGAATTGTTGAAGAGGTAGAAGGGTAAGACGTTCCTAGTAGAACAACATAAGCAAGAGCTGAGAGGCAGAAAGGAACACAATAAAAGATAGAAGGAGGGAAAGAGAGTTTATTGAGAACTTTTTTTTTTTTT